TGAAGGACATTCAAAGCTCCTCTTTGGATGTTGGCTGCTGTTTGTTCCATTCTCCCACACTGTTTCAATAATGCTGAAATCTGAGCTCGTGGGAGGCTAATCCATGACTGGTATAATGGTTATGCATTATAAGTTTTTCTATCTGGGTATGCTTTTGCTGCATTGGTATCATGTTTTACAGATGGCTGTAGACACTCTTGTATTTTCTCATGACCTCCTCTGTACATATTGACAACGATATGAACAAAAAATAAATAAATTTTGGATTCATAACTTAATAAGACCTGTTGCAACTGATTTTCAATCCACTTCTTGTGTAATGTGGCATTTGGCCTTCAGAAAAGGCTGAAGAACTGTTGCTCAAGACCGTTTTATAAATTACGAAAGAAAGTCTGGTTCCAAATATAAAGACATGAGGGTTTGCTTAAGACTTTTGAAAGTATTAATGTATTTTAGGTGATATCTAAATGAGATTTGTCCTTTGCTTTCACAGGTCTGGTACATGTGAGTGAGATGTCAGCTTCCCGGGTGGAGAACGCTTCAGAAATTGTGGATGTGGGAGAACATGTGTGGATTAAAGTCATAGGGAGAGAGGTAACAATATCACACGTGTTTTGGACAACATTCGTTAAATGAAGGTATTCTTCAACTCCAAACCCCAGAAAGGCTGCATTAAAAGCCCTCCTTTACCCTTAAACCTGAAAAGGTGTCAGAAACTGCCACTCCAGTGGGCTCAAACTCAACCTGGTTCTCATAAAGATAGTCACAGAAGTGCACACACAGAGCAGAAAGTTTACAGCTTCTTCCTCTGCTCATCAGATTCAGGGTGACAAGGTGAAGCTGTCTTTCTCCATGAAAGCTGTCAATCAGGGAACAGGGCGGGACTTGGACCCCAACAATGTTATGGCAGAGTAAGTGCCTATGGATTCATTGTGTGTGTTTTCATGTGTCTGAACAGGTGTGTGTATGTTGTTAACATCTGTGTGTGTGTGTTTATAGGCAGGATTCAAGGCGGCGTAAGCAGTTTAGAGACCAAACCAGCAACAGGATCACGCTGGAGGCTGTGCTCAACACAACGTGTTCAAAGTGCGGCTGCAAGGGTGAGGTGACATCATGAGTCATGTAATATGTCAAAGAGACTGTGCTTGTTTCACACAGATGGCTGATTTGTTTGAATTCACACTGCAGTTGTTAAATAAATTATTACTCTCTTCAGGTCACTTTACAAAGGACTGTTTCTCTGCTCCTGGCCTGCAGTACGCTCTCTTGCCTGAAGAGGACGATGAAGAGCCACAGCAGCAACCATCTACAGCCGCACAACATCAAGATTCAGACAAAAAGAAGAAAAAGAAGGTGACAATGTGACCTTTAAAGCCCTGCGCAGCTCTCGCTTCCTTTTCCGCTCTACCTTTCCTTTGCTGATTCTCTCTTTCTCTCTTTCATCTGATGCAACAACCCCCACATGTCTCTCTGCATGACATGCGGTTGTGACCACATTGGGAGTCTGTTGCCTGGAAAAATGATTTTTGTGCTGATTTAAGAGGAACATACTTCAGTGTTTGGGTTTTGAGGTATTGAAACTGCTTTTTTGTGCAACTTCTTTGTTTTTAATGCCTATTCTCCAGGAAAAGAAAGCAAAGAAGAAGAGTAAGAAAAGGGAGAGGAAGGAGTCTGAGAGCGACAGCAGCAGCAGCAGCAGCAGTGAATGTAAATCCAAGAGGAGGCGGCAAGAACACGAGCGTGACAGAGACGACAAGAAGAAGAAGAAACACAAAAAGCACAAATCGCACAAACACAGCTGAGACAAACACAGGGTGAACGTGGTTGGCAGCAGACTGAGAGAAAGACTTCCAGCTTTAATATCTAAACCTTCATTCACTGTCTGTCAAGTTCAAAACTTGAAGGGAAGCGCTGTAAATACAAACATGTGATAATCTCCACTTGTCCTGAAGTTACCCCTCCATAAAGGGAGGAGTCTGCCACACTGTGTAATCAGATAGGTGCAATCGATATGGCGGCAAGTGGCTATCCCTTTCCAAAACCCCGATATTGTTTACAGCTGTTTAGGATCTGGGAAATCCATTATACACAAGCGAGAGGGTAAAAAAGGAGAAAGGAGACACACACGCGCACGCACGCACATACACAAGAAATAGTTAAGACATAAACAGGAAGTGTAAGGCACCACAAATGAGCTTTAGAGTAGTGTAATAACACGATAGCCTGAGGTTGTCTGCTGGTTTTGTTTTGTTTTTTTGTGTGTGTTTGCGAGTCTCACCTCGAGGAGACGCTTTAAAGTACACCCAGCCGTCTTCCTGCATGTCCACTGTTTGCTCCATTAAAACTATTTTTATCTGTAAAGGTAACAAAATGTCTCACGATCTCTTTGTTCAAGGACCTTGAACTCCTAATGTTGCCGTCCTTGGAGGACCAAAACACATGTACACGCACATGCAGTGGAATTTTTCAAGCTCTGGCCCACCCATAACCAGTTAATGTTTTAAAGCCTGGACAGGCGCCCCTACACAGCATAGAGCCTAGGTTATGTCACGCAAGTTTTTCTTTTTTATCAGGGTTAGAGGCCCAACATCTTGTTTCTTCTTCTCTGCTGCTTTGACCCAATTTCAAGCTTCTGCTTGTGAGGCTGCGGAGTGAGATCGCTTCCAGCTGCGGCGGTTTGAAACAGCTCCAGTGCGATCCACCGTCAGCGGGTTTAGTTTACCGCTTAATCTCAAAAATGTTCTCTATTTCTTTTCCTTTCTCTGCTCTTGACAGTCGTATGAGACACTCGGCATGACTGCACACCCAGAAGTGTTGCATTAATACACATACCTGGATTACAACAGCAGTAAACTGTGGATTCTGCATTCATTTACAATGAACTGCAGGCTTTAATTTTAACCTTGGGTTGATCTTATGTTGTTTTTTTTCTGTGCAGAGTGTTCCTGGAATAGGTGACACATTATGTTTTAAGATGTTAAATGATTTGGAAAAAGATTGTTTAAAGGCAGCTAGAGGAAACTTTTTTTTAAAAATAAAAACCTTGTGTTTTAGAGTTATTATTGCATTTTTATTAGTTCTTATTCTTGATTTTCAATCCAGTGTAGTTCTGAAGTAATTAGCAGACACTTTGATGTCTGATCCTGATTGCACAGTGTATCTGTCGACGGCTGTTCCTCTTGGCTGTTCCCTCCCTGTTTTACAGCACGGAGTTGCTATCTGTAAATTTGTCTGAGAACACATTTGAGCTCCAGATGTCAGTTTTCAAACTAGCCGTGAAAAGATTTTCAAGCATGAGCCGAATGATTGTGACACATTGGTCGTTATCGTTTGCTCAAATTGGAATTACTAGTATGATCCAGCCTTGTGATGTTTCAAATCCACAAAGCACTGAGCACTATGACTGTATAGTTTATACAGTGTGCTACGCTGCACATGCACTGTACATACCTATATATGATATATGTGTTTGGGTTAGTATCATAAAATGAAAAACAGCCCCGTGAGTGAGCATAGTAAAAAAGCTGTTCTGCAGAAATGTAGTAAAAATCCAAAGTTTGAAAATGTAAATGTATAGTTATTTATTTAAGGGCTCCAGCGTGATTACAGTTTTGCATGAGCTTTGCATAAAATCAACTGTGCTCTGTTCAGGAGCTGTGAAGCCACATCAACATGATGTCATGGCGACGTGAAGAAAATTCAGACCAGGTTTACCCTGCAAGAGGACCTCTCACACCTGTATGTTAGTGGCTCAAACTGTGTCACTTAGTGCTCAGAGCTGCCTTAATTCTTCTTGGCAGAGATTCAACAAGGTCCTGGAAACAGCTTTTCTGCTCATTTGCTTTGTTTGTGTTTACTCTGCAAAATTTTCAACACACTGCAGGTACAGTGCGCAAAAACAGCCGCATCCATAATCTCTACCCTTACTCCATCCATTCGTTCCTCAACTATTTCAGCTCCGGGTAACTTTAGGAGGCAGTCGCAGCAGGAGGTGGCCTGGGCTCCTCCTCCGCCCTTTCACCCCTTTACCCTGCATTTAGTTGGCAGTGTGTCACTAGCATATGACACCAGTGTACCCCGGGAAGGAATGATATGAATTTAGACAGCACATGCACAGGCCTAATTCAAGTACAGGACATAACATTATCCACACAAGTACAAGCTTTACCTCAACTTTCCTTTAACCTCACCAGGGCAAAGGCAAGATCCACACTCATCTGTGCACACACACAGGAGCTGCTAAGAGGCTATAATTAACCTCCATGTGAGTCCCTCTAAAGCCCACTGTGATGGAAAATGTGGTCACACATCTCGAGTCTATAGTTGTGTTGGACTACTGAACTCTTCAACCCTCCCGTTTAAAAGTACAGCTCAGATTGGAACAATTTCACGCTCAATCCGCCTCGAATACAGCCCTGAATGCACGAGATCAACCTCGCAATCAGCCTCCCCGAATAAAGCTTTAAATTGATCATTTAGATCCCAGATCAGTTTTTCCTGAGCAACGTTTCTTGTACCTCTGGGCTACGGACCGTCATTAAAACAAAGAAAAACACATCCAGGGAGCATTTTTTTTCCTCCAGTCTGTCCATCAGTGTAGACACTTTTATTTGAAACGTATCAGAACTCCACAGGAAAACTTTTCAAACACTTTTCCAGGCAACATGTTCTTCCAGGCCACATTCTTAAAAAAGAGAAGAAATGCAGACCTGGAGTCTTACAGAGAAACAAACATAAAAAAAATGGATGGAATTTATTCAGTGTTTCTTACAGTAGAATGAACAACGTATAAAGGAGGTGGGGAGGAAGAAAAGGAGTCGGAGGTCACAGTCAATACTAAATTAATACTAAAAGGGACAATGACGGGGGTCGATAGCAGCCATATGAGGAGGTGGGGTTGTTTTTCTTTTTGGCCTGTTTTGAAGAAGTGTTAAGGAGTCTGGGATGCGGGATTTTAGTTGATGCAGGTAGCTGCTGAAATGTTGTGGGATTTCTTTTTCTTTACTCTGCCTTCTCGTAGCGACGCGTGCAAACAACCTCTCCGAGTTTGAGTGTCTGTTTGAAGAGAGAAGAGAAGTTACATACACATACATACAGAAGTTACATTTGAATTATTCTTTTTTTGGGGGGGTGGGTTACTGACCAGCAAGAGAACGTTGCCGTTGACTTCCCTGACCAGGCTGGTCTCCTTTTCGTCCCACCGCTGAATGTGCACCAGCTTCCCGTCCTCTATCTTGACAATAGACTGGCGAGGAGCAGAAACGAGAGTCAGACACACATCCAGCGAGCGAGTGAGGATCATTTAAATCAGTGGTTCGGCTTTCTGTTATTTCATTGTGCGCTTCACCATTGCGCAGACATCTTTATAGGCAGCTACCGCACTTTTCCCATCTCATGGCAAGCTTGTAAAAAATACCTAAAGTTACATATAAAAGAATGCAACGCAAAGGAACTGTGCAATCAGAGAGGACGACAACGACTTGTTGGGTAATTCATGTGCTCGTGCAACAGCCCACAGAGACATCAGTCTGAATGTGAGCTCGCAATAGCCACAGCTTCTTGCCATCAGCAAACACTCTGCAGTATACATTTAGTTAAAGTGTATGCTCCTTGCTCCTTTCCCCCATAACGTTCCCTTTAAACGCTACCGCGCACTCAACTTTATCTCTTTCCCAAAGCTTTATGTCATCCCATCACGACTGTTTCCACGGCGATCCATCAGCCTGTGCACTTTAATTATCACACCATATTTCTGTATGGTTACTTCTCCAGTGTGCAGGGAGGTTCCAGCAGACTTCTCCTTACCTCATACGAAGCCTGCGTAAAACCTCTTTCATAAAAGTCTAAATGCAAGGTTTTGCATTGTTCAAATTGGACCTTTGACCTCTCACCTTGACCTTCCTGTCGTCGGCGGTTGTCTCGTCAAACTCCTCTCCCAGCTTGAAGCTGAGTTCTGTGTTTTTCATGGTACTCTGGGTCTTCAGCGTCACCGTGTCGCCGTCCACTGAGATGATGGTGGTGGGCTTGGTGAGGTTGGCCACTTTCCGTGTAGCGAAGCCCACGCCTGTGTAACAACACAAATTTAAAACAACCAGGTAAGTCAGGTGAGGTGTGCTGAGGGTGGATTATCCCCGTGGGAAATAAACAAGTCTAAAGGTGAGGCAGAGACTCAACCTGTTTCTCTGCCGCTGGCACTGATCCTCTCACATAGGGGCAAAGGTTGTACCAGTGTATCAAGCAGATGTTGAGATATTCTAAACCGACTTAAAGGAAACGTCCTGGGAGTGTTTACAGATACCGAAAGGAATATGTTGTTGCACATCCAGAGCAAAAGCCGTTGATTTGCCCCCCGGCTGCCCTTCATCTGACATGCCCTCTAATCTCTCCTTTATCAGCCACTTAAGCGTGCTGCACGTTCTTCAAACACTGCAGAGTCCCTCCGACCTGGGAGAGTGCCTGTTTGGGCATGTGTGTGTGCAAATTCTTACCTGCTTTCCTGGTGTGCGTTTGTGTGTGTATGAGGGATTCAGTGAATTTGTTTCTCTGGGTAAACGTGATTCGCACCATTTCTTTTACTGAAGGGAAAAAATCTGTTTCTGTTTGAAGTTAACAACCCAATTCATTTACAACAGCGACATTCCCATAGCCCATGTGTGTGTAGATGCCTCATCGATTAAAAGGACTGGGGTTAGAGGTTAAAGGGCGTCTGCTTGTCACCGTGATCAGAGGAAATACGTCGATGGTGATGTGGCTCTACACAGCTGTAAAACAAACTCCATCCACCTGCCTCCATTCCACGCTCCACAGCCATGTGTGTGCCAGGAGCCAAACTATATCTCCATGTTCCCGTCCCACCGGCTCCTCCTTCCAGCTTGATATTCAGCTCCTCCCATGACCTCACACAATGAACAGCTTTCAGCAAAGGTCACCCACATTATACTACACTGTGTGTGTCTGTGTGTATGAATGCCATTCAGAGATTCCCACAGTGGGGCTGATTTTTTTTTCTTCACTCAAAAAAGAAAGGGGGGGGGGTCCTCCCTCCTTTCCAGCACTTGGCCCATGTGGTCAGCCATGATTCCTCTTTTTCCTCCCTCCCTCTGGTGTCCATCTTCTCCTGCTGTATTTCTGTTCCCAACCTACGCCTCGCTCCACCCTTTACTCTACAGCCTACCCCTTTATTTCTCCATTTGAAGCCTCCCTTATTTGCTCCCATGATTGATCATTTTTTCCCACACCCTGTATCAACAAGCTACTTAAAACAGTTTACATATGAAACACACCTTATACCATTTAGCTCGCCTCAAACCCGTCTCAACATGCGCTCGCTTGCAGCACTGGCACTACTGCTGCATCCTCTGCTGTTTCACACGCATGCGCGCACACTCCCCTGCGCAATGTGCATGCATTAAAAAAAAAAAACAGAAGAAGAAAGAAATAGAAACACTTACCCAGCTCTTTCATGTAATCATCAAATTTATCGCTCTCCTTGAGGAGCCATGTGCCAACGAAAGCATCGACCATGTCTACAGCGGTGCGGAGGAATGAGGGCGAGAGAGAAAGACGGTGTGTGTGTGAGTGTGTGTGTGAGGGAGAGAGAGAGGCGGCAAAGCAGGGGAGCGTCAGAATGAGAGACGAGAGAAAGAGACAGGGGGAGTAATGTAAGCACCACCAGCTTTGCTGTGATCTTACTGGCTGAATGTACCGGCTGTTCGTGATGTCATCAGTCTGTGTCACCCACAGACTGCCGGGCGGGAGAGGGGGGAGCAAAAAGAGAACACGTGATAGCCTTGGTTTTGTCAAAGTGATCGCCATGCAAATAAATTGTGTTTGAATTGCTTGAAAGGTTTGTTTGCATCTGCTTTCTGTGCGTATTGTCAGCCTTAATAAAGAGAAGGATCAGAGAGGGCTTTAGTAGAGAAATCAAAGAAGAGGGAGAAAGGGCAGAGTGGAGAAGTTAATGGGGAGGAGGTGGAGGAGTACGAGGAGGTGAGCCTGAGGGAAAAGAGGCCCACCATTGAGTCTTTTTTTTTTTTTTGCAGCTGTTGGTTGTAAATGTCGTGTTTCCCTAGTTGTTCTCCTCATCTCTGGTCTCTCCACCTGGGGGGTTTCCATCCACCTGCACTGTGTGGTTTGCCGGTTATTTTGATGACCTAAATGTGGCTCACCAAAGTGTGAAAAGTGTAACCAAATGTGTATGTGTGTTTGTGAGAGTGCTTGTAAACACAGATACAGGTCCGAGTATGCTGGCAGACGTGTGTTGCAGTTATGACTGTGAAGATAAGAGTGCTGGTGTGTTACTATAGTGCTTGTTTTCTAGACACAAATACAAAACTTGTTCGCCTCCAACCGGTTAGAGATTGCTGCCCCTTCCTTGTTCTGCCAGAGGTTTCTTCCTGTTAAAAGGTAGTTTTTCCCTGTTGACAAATTGCTTGTTCATAGGGTTGTTTGATTACAGTTTTAAACGACTTGCAATACAAAGCACCTTCAGGTGATTGTTGCTGTGATTTGTTGCTATTGAATTGATCTGTATTAACCCCAGAACACTATCGCTGGGTGATTTTCACCCGAGCAAATACATTTACATGATTTCTCTCTCCTGCAGCTGTTAGCGTGTCGAGCAGACTGTGCCTTCACCAGGGAAGTCTCAAATGTCCCAGGAATAGGTGGATCAAAGACCAGCCTTCCAGTGTCATTATTTATTTATTTATTTTTAGGAATTTTCCTTTTGTTAAATTCCATATTTTTCTGTAATTGGCAGCATTATCTTAGGGTCCCCCCCATGACACTTTTTTCATTTTGTTAGACGTGACACAGGTGAAAGTAAAAGCAGACCACTCTGATTCAGATCCCTATCAGATCCCTGCTACAAAGTCCACGTAATATCTCGGTAGACCTCTTGGAGGACAGAGCAGGTCCTTGTCTGCAGACTTCACAGCAAGTTAGTGGATGTCATGAGTCATTTCTCTTTCAGCTCTACCAAGCTAAATGAGAATTTCTGGCTTTTGCAACAACACATCTGACAAAGTGGATTGCCTTAGTTTGCTGCATGTGCGAAAGGGAAACTTTGCAGAGTCCGGAGAATCAGATCCAGATGTTATAGCATAATAACTGCATTGTAAGACTCAATAAATACACCTTGTTGTTATGTTTGGAGTCAGACATCTTCCTGGTGCAGAAAATGCAAATACTCCACCAAATGTGGAGTTTCCTGACAGAAAAGGTACCATCCATCCATCCATTTCTGAAACACTTTTGGGGAACACATTTGGGAGATTAAAAACAGGAACACAGAGGGCAAGACTTCACTGATGGAAGCACATTGTTCCTCGGTCTTTTCATTGCTCTCGTAGTTCCTGATCATACAGCAGAAACAAGCTAAATAGGAATAGAGCAGCATTTTAGGAAAAATGCGGAGAGATCCAGACAATAAAATATTAGCTTAGCACAGAACCTAGAGTAACTATTTAGACAAGGCATCTGTCCAAAGATAAGTTCAGACAGCTGCAGATGCCAAGCACAAGCAGTCATTCTAGTTATACTTTTATAAGTCCACTGGAGTCTGCTTGATGGACACATGCATAGTTGGAGCATTTATGCTGTAGTCACAATAAAACTGGAGATAATGGAGTTAAAAAGGTACACCAGGGAGCACATATAAACCTCTCTAGTTAACATAGTTAAAAAAATTTTCTTTTTCCAGAAAAGAAAAAAGCTTAAATGAAAAACCTTTAGCTGTAGCTTGTGCTGGACTAGGTTGAATGGAATATTTCCCAAGGTTTGCCATTACAGCTGTGTTTTTTCTCCTCCTTTTTTAAAAATAGTACTCATGTGTTTTGTTATAGTACTCAGGTCTGTATTATTAAGCTTTTGAGTTACAGATGGTTGATGTTTCAGTTTTACTCAAAGAACGCAGTTTTTGGTAGATTAGTCTCATTTAATACCATTGTGAAGTATCTAGGCTAACCAAGCTAGCTAACTAGTGTTAGACTGTGTCCCCACAGAAAGCAGGAAGAAGCACATTGCTTTGAAGCTGACAGTTGGTCCCTAGTGGATGTTCTAGGCCCCAATTGCTGGCAACTCTCCTGGTGTTGCCCAAATATTGTCACAAAACACAAACCATACATCAAATAATTCCTTCAAAGCTAATTCTTTAGCGTTCTGTGGTCTACATGGATGCAAGCAGAGCCCCTGAGTAAGTCAGAGTCCTGTTAGCGGGCGTTCAGAAATCAAAGTCGTCATGTGGTTCATGTAGCTTTCAAATAGTTCCTGCAAAGGCTTAGCAGGCAGTTGAAATGTGTGGTGATAACATACAGACTTGTTTGTTTGTTTGTTTTTAACTTCCCACCTTTCAAAAATGTATCTCACACTTCTGTGCTGCTATATTTGTCACCATATATTGGAAACCTTCAGAAATATTGCGAGGCTTGTGATGAACCACCATTGCTTTAACTGAAAATGGTCCATTGGAGAGATTGAAGACGGTGCAGCTCTTATCAATACCATCCTTCCAATGGCTCTGGATGCTAGCTGCTTCCTGTGTGGATTCAGCTGTAGTCTTAGCTGACAACGCTCCTGGTATTGTCCAAGTACGCTCCTAAAATAAGGCCCTACTTAGAGAGACTACTTTGAATGAGAGTGTTATAATTTTCTAATTCAACTCTTAGCATGAAAGCATTTCTCACCATGTCAAAAATCATTTCAAACTAATTCTAACTTTAACACTAACATCCAGTCCTGAAAACGTCACTCTGAGATGTGTATACAGGTCAAGTGTAATTTCCTGCCTAAAACTTAAAAAAACCAAAAATTCAAATCACTCCTCACAAGTACAGATGTAAAGACCTGTTTTCGTCCTCACTGTGATATAAGTCCCTATGGGTTGGTGTGCAGTCAGGTTCAAGTCCCCAAAGGGCATCATAAACTAGCCTCCGTGCAGAAGCACAAGTGTCCACTTATTATCTATCTGTCTCTCTCAATGTGACGAAATTCTCCCCTATCTGCTAATGCATGGTCAGATCTGTGGACGTTGTGTAATAGCAAACATGCATTAAAACTACCACACTGTCAAACCACACACACACACGGGCAGACAGAGTGGGCAACAAAAGTCAATAGTGAATACTTATCGAACCATGTTACACACTCTGTCCTACTGCCCTTGTCCTCCACCGGCCTCCCTTTGCTGGTGTCAAGTAGTGTGTCTAAACTGGCACATGTGTGCGCGCTGGAACGAATCAGTGGTGCGCACGGGTCTGACACTTGACATGAACAGGTGTGAGAGGGACACATGGAAAAAAGAGAGGAGGAGAGGACAGAGAGAGAGGAGGTGAAAGGTTAAAATCGTTTAGTTCCAGCTTTTCCTCTTACCCTCATTTGCCTACATTGGATTTTATTATTTAAACAGTTACATAGGTGGTAACTGCGCAGATGAACATGTCACTCAAATATATGTATATATGTATGGATATAAGGTTAAAAATTGAAAGATTATTTTATTTGTTTGGGGGGGGGGGTGTTCTTCTGCCTATAAAGGCTAGAATCTAAAATTAAAAAAGAACACGTCAGTCCTGTCAGTGTCTGTGGAAATATCTTTCCAAATGTGTGTGGGTGTGTGTTTGATCTTATGCAATCCTGTGATATAGTGCTCTGGGATGCCACTATGGTTATAACTCACATAGAGTTTTTTCTGGGAGTCTGAGGCATAAAATCCCCTCTTCATAAAGACTTACATATGTGTGCAGGAAAATTTTGCCGTGCTGGGTAAAACCATAAGTTCAAGTGCAGTATAAACACTATTAAGCGTAAGTAAACAGAGATAGCATACCAACATTTGCACTAGCAGGTACATGAGCCGTGTCTTTATTTTAATCTTGGTTAATATAATTATCACCTCTAAGCTTCTTTTGGGCTCAGCCTGTTCAATCTGAATACAGAACAAAATCAGTTAAACTGCTGTTTGCATTGTCAACTGCAGATAAAGCCCCTATAGCTATCTAGGAGAAGCCTGCACAGAGTGTTTGTCCTCAAAACACAGCACAAGCAGGGATGTGTGCTGGAGTGCATGTGTGAACATACATGTACGCTGACCTCACATAACTACAAGGCTAAAACCAATTTCACAAGCATAGAAGGGTGTTTTGGGGGTTTTCTATAGAACTTTATGTGAGTGTGGGAATAATACAACTAAATAAACATCTGGAAATTGCCACTCCCTTCTGTAGTGTGTTCATATGTCGGCTTCTCTCTCGGCAATGCTTATATAATTTTATTCACACTGATTTGTCTATGCGGCGCTCAGGATAGAAAATTACAGGGTGATTATGAACATCATAAATCAGCATGACTCAGATTGCAGAATGAGCGACAGACTTTTAAACGTGTTATTTATTGTGCACCCACCTTTCAGCATGGCATGTTTTATGAGATTCAAGATTCAAGAAGTTTGTCATTGTTCAATTGTTTCAACCAAGGTATGCAGAACATGCAAAACCTTTAAGCAGATGGACAGCAGCAGAAGACGGCACTGGGTATCACTCCAGTGAGCTAAGAACAGGAAACTGAGGCTGCAATTTATATGGGCTCACCAAAAGTAGACAGCAGAAGATTGGAAAGACATTTCCTAGTGTGATGAGTCTTGATTTCTGCTGCAACAACAACA